ATTTAATTTTAGGTGCCCACCAGTTTATACTGCATTTTACAGTCTAGAAGGCAATTTACTATTAACTGGCAATTACATACAGAATGATTGTTAATTCTGCTCCTAAGTGCTAGCTGCTTGAAAATTGTTATCTCTCTCTAATTTTTGACCTTCTTACAACAGGGGTGAGGTACGCTGGGAATACAAAGGACTAGTAGAGAAGAGCTGGACATGTCATTTGTGACTCATTCTTTTAATTCACCGTGCTAATCAACTGAACTGCCACAATCTCCCAAGGTAATTGTATCTTTATAATAGTTGAAAGCAGTGGGCAAAAAGGCATGGATAGATGGGGAAAGGCCTTCCCTTTGCCTGCTGAGAAACAGCGCGATACTCCTTCTGCGAGAGACTAATGGGGCCTTTTTAGAAAAATCTGGAACTTTCATATCTCTGCACCCTGATCATTTAATGTCTCAACTTTTGTACTTAACAAAGGCTTTGTGCACCACACTACACTCTTGTTTCATTATTCCGCAGCCTTGTTGCCCTATGGTCTACCTCCTGCCGGGAAGGTTAAATGTTAGAGTGCCAAGCCAGACTGCAAGCATGGTGGGACACTGATGGGAAACAGATGCCCTGGGGATTCGGCCCCTCCCTCGTATAGGACTACATAATTTTCATTTTCTGAAATACAGTGAGGCTTGGCTTAGTTCTCAATGGCAGCTGTAATGTCCAAAGCCTATCTCATTCACCCTATCACTTCAGGATAAAGCAAATCAGGCAGAAGTTGCACAGGCAGACAGGCTCTGCCTTTGTCTTGGGGTTTTCTGGGCGTTGGGATGTAAGCAGTTGTCTCCCTCAAAAGGTGTTTTAAATATGTTGTCCCATCAAAGCATTAGTAATGTACCTTTATTACATCCTAATTACAGGAGAAGTTCCTGATATTCTCACAATTCTTTGGAACATCTTTACCCAGCAATAAGAGAGAAGGATGATCCCAGGGAAGACAAAACAAATGGCTTTTGCTTGCAGTTCTCCTCACTTGTTTTCATTTGCACATTACCAAGAGATGCAATATAGCAAAACCTGCTAAATTTGCAAAATCTGCACTGAAGACATCAGTTAAAGACATTACTACAAAACAATTCAAAATTCAAAGGCTGTGCACTGAGAGCCAGATTGTCATCTGGTTCAAATCTGCGGCTTTCCTTGTGTGCAATGGAATGACACCAGCTCACAACAGCTACAAAACCTGGAACTTACTCCAAGGCTCTTAATTCATTCACTTTGTATTTTGCTGACCGTGTACCTTAGCTCAAGAGACACACTTCTCATGATATCCTGCTGTAGCTTTGTCCAATCTGCATTTACAACGGCATTTTTAAGACTCTGTGATCTTGACCACATGCAGTTATCACTTTTTAGCAAAATGTATTAAATAATATCACTTTGAAATACATTACTAGCACCAAGAGAACCACAGCCACTGCCTCCACATTCGGTAACGCTGGTACACGGGTGAGGATGTGAGGTTTGGTTTTGCTCAGGATGTAATTTCTTTGGGGATAGATGGGAAATACAAATGCCCACATCTGTTTGGACTGCACCATTCTGAAATGCTACCTTCAGCTACGAGTTCAGCAAGGGAACTTGGATGGAAACACATATCTTTGATGTGTTAACTGTTAAGTCCTAACTTAAAACTACCCAGGAACACACTTTTCCCATTAGATCAAAATTAACAGATAGAAACAGTTGCAGTCTAGTGGGAAAATATTCATCAAAATGCACATCATCTGCACATCGTCTGCAATCTGCATCATCTATCCAATAAGCACTGAGAACTCTGCCGGAATCCCTACAGTCTGTCGAGTAAACAGTTAAAGGCGATTTGTTTTCGAAAGGGAGATTGATTCATCACATCAAATTTATTACCTAGAATCCTCATCCAAAAGCACCATAAATTAAATTGCTATTTCTCCATTTTTCCCCCCCAGCATCTTAGTTAAACTCATTCTTACATGCCAAAAAAGCTGCAATACACATTTTAGATAAATGTTAGCAATACTTCATCCCAAAGTAAGACTTCTCGTGTTAGAAACACTGCAAACCACAAAGTTCCTATTTTTCTTTGCGCTCTTATAAATTAAAATCAAATGTATTTAGAAGAATTGGCATAAATAAGTCCTTTCCAGGGTTATGACTTTTTATCCCAAGTCTCAGGTCTGCAGGAATTTTCAGAGCCAGACTGCAAATAGAGTTGGATAAAGTTCTTTGGAGCCAACAACAGCTACTTGATCCTGTGCCTAAAACTTCAACTGAACCTTTAGGGAAGTTCAAGAAATTTGGATAGATATTCCGAAAAATATTTTTCTCACTGAATACTTCTGAACTCCTTTCCCTGGTTGGAGCAGAGGAGGACATAACAGTGACAATCTACTTCTGGCTGCAATGAAAACAGGAAGTAACTGGCATCTTGTGCGAGCTCGATCTCATGAGATATCAAGACATTATGAAGACC